ACAAGTAGGCGTTAATGGGCTGTGTAGACTTTTGACCAACGCGCGCCAGCGCCTAACGCTGTTTGGTTACCCTTTTGTAGAGTATTCGTTGCACTAATACACACACACGTTTACACAAGATCAAAACACACACACACACGGCGCGCGCACCGGCATCTGTAATGGCTTAATTGTCGGCGAACATGCAACAAGTCGTCGAAACCTTGGCTTTGTTTACCTTTTCAATGGCAGCGTCAGCAGCAAGTAAAGTACACCACGCCACCGTACGGCATCGCACAGCCTAATAGCAATAGCTGCCTATCGAAGCTTCAGCAGTACTTGGCATTAGCCGCACTGCGCTCCAGTAGTTTGCTAATGATTCTTCTGGCAGGCGCGCGCACCGTGCCATTTCCATTTCTGATGCTTGAATGTTGCTGCCGCTTCAATTAAATGCACTGCAGTTCGAAGCGTCTTACCTTGTTACGTCCCTTTCGGCATGCTATGCACGTTGGCGTAGGTTCAGGTTGAGCCGCTTTTCATTTCGATCGCATTTGGCTGGGGTAGGGTGGCGCGCTGATCACGAGCATTATATGTAGCTAATGTGGCAGGCCACCAATTGCACGGCGGCGGCATTAATGAATTCTTAAGGGGTCCAAAGGCGCAATTATACATTAAGTGTATTAGGCATTGTGTTGTAAGTGTTGTTTGGTAAGAAAAAAACATCATAAGCCGTATAAAAATAGATTAAAAAGGTGGTGTCATTGACACCTAGTGGGGGAAGTTGCGCTCTGCCTCAGTGTTCTGCAATGATAGCTCAACGCTTTTAATACTGCTTATTTATTGAAACATATAATTCGATTTTTCGCAATGGTATTTTACTTTTATTATAAATTTGTTATAAAAGAGCAGGCAGCAATGCAATTTATGATATTGTAGTTTGATATGAACAAGGTGGCCGGTTTCATATCAAAGCGATTCTTCTCGTTTTCTAATCAAATAAAATTGTTTAAACAAATTCGAAATCGTTGGAGCTTCTAAAACCACATGTCTGTGTAGTAATATTTTTTTTATATTTGAAACGTTTTTGAAATGGAATTCAACGGGGTATTATAACGTGCATTCATTTACCGAAAAATTTCATTAAAAACATTGCCTACATTTCGGCGCTGTGAGTTTCATATCAAAATCTCTAATGAAAAATTTGAAAAAGGAATGATTTTTGTGCATATTTCCAACTAAAACACAAAAATTAAAAACAATATCAAAAATTAAGTGTAGAAATTTTATTAATAAGTAATAAGCTTTGATTTTAAGAACATAACCAAAATGGTAGAACCCGAATTAAGAAATAAATTAAAATTTTCAAAATATTTTTTTTTTTAATTTTTATAGTTTTCGGAAAATTGACTTTCAAAGTTGAAATTTTCAACTATTTCAACTTTTTCTTCGTTTTTTTGCACTTTAGTATATGAAATAAATGTGCACAAACGAATTAATGAAGTCTTAGTGGATATATGTATATTATATACTGGATCTTCTATCATATCCATTTTATTCCCAAAATCCTGGGACGGTATTATAAATTTTATTACAAATTATTTTAAAAATTATTTTTAAAAATTATTTTTAATCAAAATTTTCGGGATTACATTATATTCTATGTAGTCTTCATGTGGTGTATAGCTCGAAAAAAAATCATACTTGCAAAGAAACTCGAGAGCGTTCCGTTCAATGGTTCACTCCAACCATGGCACTTAACGCCATCTTGCACATAGCGCCTGTAGACTTCGACGGAAGGTGTATCACTCCAAAAGTTTGTATCCGATGCAGAGAGTCTGGATTCTTAAAAGAACACGTATCTGAACACTCGGATATGCTCACACAATTTGACTTCTTATCGGATCACTTGGATCATGGAGTCGCCAAACCGAACTCTGGCGGCCGCTTCTCTGCCTATATACCGACTTTTGGGTGTGAAGAAGCCATTGGAGGAGAGGGGCTGTGAGCTTCTTTACGGATGGGTCAAAGTTTGGGGGGAAGATTGATGGACAAGTTTACTGTTAGGAGCTTTCTAACAACTCCACCTTCAGACTTCCTGACTATTGCAGGGCTTTGCAAACCGAGGTTGCAGACATTAAGGTAGCAGTAGATCCACTACTTCGGAGTGCAGTGTCCTTCAGAGAATTGAGCGTACTAAGCTTGAACTCATTAAAAGTGCGTTCATGGTTGGTCGAGGTGTGTCTAACCTCGATATCAATAGCATCGATTCTCTTTGTGGTAAGACTGGTATGGGTACCAAGCCATGAGCTATCAAAGAAAGGCACCCTAGAACCGCTATCGGTAGAATGTTCTACTACGCTGGGCCACCATCGGTACATGTGCCTTTTGGCCCAAAATCGATCGCAAGCGATGAGTAAGGCTCTCCTCTCCCTGGTTGTGGAGCTTTTAACAAGTCATGAAAGGGGAACAAAAACAATTGGGAGCGCATACTATATGCTATATTTAGATCAATTAAAAGCATTGAAGTTTTTGTGAAAAGAAACGTTTACGATTTATAATAATTACTTAGTAAATTAAATAAAGGTTTCTTTATCCCCACCACGCTCTGTGTGCACCACCCTGTATATGATTTACCCCATTTCCCAGCTAATGCGCACCTTCTCAAATCACTTCACTTACATTCTTACTTAACCAAATAGAGTAATCGGCGCGCTTTAACCCACAAGCGCGCATTAAACATAACAACAACAACAACAACAAATAAACACTTAAGCAATACAATAAAAAAGTATGAGTAAGTAGTATATTTATACTATGATTACATGGCTATGAGAATGTAAGAAAGTAAAACCGAAGCGTAAAACTAATTATGAGATACCTAACTGATTGCATGTTCCACGGCAGTGCACTTGCAACACAAATATAGAGAACAGGCCTGCCCTGCTGTTGATGAATGGTAGGGGAACAAAATTTAAAAAAATATGTATAAATATAGAAAAAAATTAATAGAAATAAAAAGAAGAAGGCAAAAATAATAAATGAAAAGAAAATCAAGAGAAAAATTATGAATCATAAAAATAAAAAGAAGCTACCAATACAAGCACCCGCCAGCAGTAAATGCTGCGCTTCAGGTGCTTCAACCGCTCGCTGCATGCCCCGCGCCTACTTGCACTTCCAATGCATTTATGGACGCTCCCAGCGCCCACAGGCGGCATGCGCGCAGGGGTACGGTCCTAACATACATTTATACTTCTTTGTATGTATTGCTTATAATTCTTTCGCCAGACTTCACTGGTTTTTCAAGCCTTAACTTAACTCAACTCGACTTAACTTAACTTAACACCCGTCGACTCCCATTAGCAATGCTGTTTGCTAGAGTATTGGAAAAGTGTCAGTCTAAGCACACAAACATTCATACGTTTTAAAGTGTGTGTGTGCGCGTGTGTGTGCTATTGCAGTTGGCATGCATTTCTGCAATTGTCGGCTCGCTGGTTAGTGCGCAACGTTATGTAAACGTCATTAAGCCATTCGAAGTGTTGGTGCTGGCGCTGTGCAAGCGTATCGCGTCATCGTGTCTGCTTTGTTTGGAATTCGGACATAACGCGCTAAGCTAACTGCTTACTTTTACTGCCAAGTCTCCGCTAGCTTAAGCTTCGTTTGTCTTCTAATGTGCGTGTATTTGCTGTCAAGCCGGAAATTGATTTGCTAATAATTTTCTTTTTCGGAATAGGAAGTAGTAAATTGACTTGTGCGGTCAGTGGAAATAAGTGGCGGACGATAAGGTTAGAAATCGCTAAAGCGCTAAAAAGGTTTCGCCTGAATCGAGGGTTCTCAGCGAACGTACAAAGTGTTACGTAAATTCATTTGAAAGACTAAGTGATCTTGATCACCGCAAGCCAACGTAGGTTGGGAAATCAAATGATCTAACTTCCCAGCTGTCTTCTCTGATCCGAAAAGCTGGTCTAAAATCATTTTATTAAAGGCACAGCATTATCTCCTGAATCTAGCTCAACTTGCTACTTTTGTCATTGGCATCACATATACATTTGCGGTTAGATTTTGGACCGTGAGCAGCAAGGAGTAGTTGAAACTACTCCTGTCCTTTGAACCGTTGAAGAAGGCCCCAAGGGGGGGCCGGGGGTAGGGAGCTTTGAGAGGGCTGTACAGTCTTCTTGAACCTCTTCGATGAACGTCACCCTACTTGCGCACTGAATTCATTCAAACCCTTCAAATCCCCGGTCCCATCTAAACGAATTGCGTTAGATTAGGTCATGTTTCGAAGGCTAGAGAATGGTTAAGGTTACATTTGTGCGAAGTGTGCTATAACCTTCATGAAACCTGGGTATAAGAAGGGATCCGAACAAGGCACGCTTAGTTTCTCTTCAATTTCGATTCCATTCCTGAAAACTTGGACTACTGCTTCGCAGACGCCACTACGGGTGGTTGGTTTCTTCTGGTTGAAGGTAGGAGGAAATAATGATTGGAAGCTTGCTGAAGGGAACTCTCCGTTAGATTTAGCTTTAGGCTACCGGATCACTTTAGTGTTTTTCAGGCAGGCGCAACTGCTATAAAGGTGGCGGTAGACATACTACTATGAAGTACAGGCCTTTGAGTAGCGGTAGCAGAGCGGCAATACTTGTTCTGAGCTCGCTAACTGTAAGTTCAAAGCTAGTCAAGGAGGGTCTGTCGTCACAGGAAATAGAATCAAGCTAGTTCAACAACATGCTCGTTTGGTTGCCTGGTTGCAGCGGATTTGTTGGCCGATGCAAAGCCGATGATCTGGCCAGAGCGGCTTCTTTATTCCGCTCACATCGGAATGGGAACCAGTTGGAGTTGCGCGTAAACTCAGCGAGTAGAAAAATGACAAATCGAAGACGGCTAATAACTTTATGTTTATTTTAACATTAATGAAGTCAATTATGCGGGGAATACTGTGTTGCAGCAATGGAATTCATTAACCAAATATCACTGTATTTTCTCTAATAGTCGCCATATCTTAATCTCTTTTTTCTTTTTTCCAGGTATGCGCCGAAGAAAAGTCTCAAGAGGAGGTGGTGCTCTTAGCGCTCAACTATATGGATCGCTTCCTATCCACAAAATCGGTAACAAAGACACATCTGCAAATATTGGCGGCCGCCTGCCTGTTGCTGGCTTCGAAATTGCGCGAGCCCAGTTGTCGGGCGTTATCTGCCGAACTGTTGGTATTCTACACCGACAACAGCATATACAAAGGCGATTTAATTGTGAGTACAAAATCAACATACAATTTTACATGTTAATTGCTCTAATAGAATTTCAAACATTACTTAAGTATGCCAAAACAGCAAAAAAGAAAAAAAATACTTCTAAGACAGAGCAAATACACTGGGAAACGTTTAACAACGGAATGTCTTAGAGTGTATGCCTATCTGTGTGTGTATGCGTATGTTATGTGTATTTGCGTGTGTGTGAGTGGTGCGACTTCCTGTTTAGCCACGGCACGCATCCAGGAATTATCACCTAAACATCTTCCGCACACTTTGCACCATTAGTATGTTGCTCGAAACTGTTATATTTGGAATTTGCTTGCCAAATTAACGACAGCATCAACAGTTTGTTCAAATATACTCGACATTCGCCCAGGCATAGTGTAAATACACGCACACACACAATTCACATTCGCACTGGCAGCTTGCGCGCACATTGAACTTGTCAAAGAAGGTTGCTGGTCCGCGCGCCTCTCTCTTCTGCCAGTCCTCTGGATGCTGTGGAGCACCCAAAGAACCATGCGAAGTAGTCAGCAGTCAGCATTATTGCTGGAAAATTTCACATAGTGCTAAAAAATTCGCACGCATCGACGCGTCGCGGTCAGTTGTTGTCGGTCTGCTGCGTTGATTTGTTTGTGGTTGGTTGTTGTTGTGCTGGCGGTCAGTTAGCCACTTAAGCGGTTGGTCAATACACCGCCGGTTACATAGTTGGCGCGCAAAGGCGTTGTTTAAGTTTTGCTACATGGGAAAAGCAAATAATAGCGGCTAGCCAGCAGTCTGTCTGTTTCGCTAGTTGGCCGGCTAACTTAGCGGCAGCTGTCGCTGATCGCTGACGTTGACGTTGATGCTAACGCAGTCGTTGCTGTCAACTCTTAAGTTGCACCGCACACAACAATTGCGACAACGTCGATCTGCCGCCGCTGACGTCCTTCCCTGGCTCGCAACCCGTCGAGTCGTTTGTTACTTGCATATTCTTGCTTAGTGGCAGCCACTACGCAGCCTCCGCCGTTGTTGCGTTGTCATCTCTTCACTTCTGCAAATATCTCAATCAATTATAAACGAATAAGTTTGCCAAGATTTCGTAGGCAAATACGCCCAGTGTGAGCTACGCTTTGTGCTGCGAGCGACGTCGGCGCGTCTGTGTGCTTTTTGAAAATGTTGCATGCAACCCTGCTGTTATGCGTGTGTCACCCATGTCGCTTGTACTCACTCATCTCCATTTACATACCGACACAATTGTTAATACTAAAGAGTAAAAGAAAAAAAATTAATTACACATATTAATAAAGAACGTTCAGGCTTTTATTAAACCGTCTCGCGCCTTGCTGCGGTCGCTTTGCGCATGCCCAACATATACAAACGTGTATAAATATTTGTAGTTGCGCATTTTTGCCAATTCACGCATATTTTTGTACGCACGGTACGTATTTACAGGGTTTCCCAATAAGAGTGGTACGATTTCTTTTCAAAAAGAGACACACGAGTTGTTAGGGAAATTTAAATGTTTTTTTTATTTTATGTGAATAAAGTTCTGAATATAAAAACATTGAAATGGCCTTCACGACTTTTTTGCTGGAACGAATTCGATGAACCTAATTTTCTAGTACTTTGCTTCTAAGAGAATCTGGTTTATTGCTAAAGGCCAATATCTCCAATTCTTCCAATTGCGACCAAAAAAGTTTGGTTATCAACCATTGATAGTACCGGTGTTCCCAGTGTCATTTCGAAGGAAGTACGGCCGATGATTCCACCAGACCTAAAACCACATCAAACTGTTAATTTGAGCGAATGTAATAGTTGTTCATGAGTAATTTCCAGAGTTTCTTCGTACCAGAATTGAAAGTTTTGTTTATTTACCGCACCACTGAGAGGAAAGTATGCCTAGTAGATCATTTTCTTAAAAAAAAAAAAAATAGTTATTGTTGTTCCAAGGCAAAATCGGCAAACTCACCACGTTTCCGGTGGTCCAACGGCTTCAAATCTTGAGTGAGAACAATTTTATACGGATGCAAGCCGAAATCCTTTCTCCAAATCCGCCAGGTTCTGGTTTGAGACAGTTCCAATTCTTGAGAACGTCTTGGAATCGACAAGTTGCGGTCTTCAACATGAAAGGCAGCAGCATTTTCATTACTTCAAGCGATCATGCCATATTAGAAATGACCGAAAGTACTCTTAGAAATCATATCATCCCTATTGGAAACGCCGGTATATGTAAATGTATGTAAAAATAGTTGATCACCGTCGTTCGTACTGTTTATTAAATGTTGCAAATCTTCATTTCAAAATATTTGCGAAAGAATGTGTCGACGTCGCGGGCGGGGTGCTTGTCATTCGCTGTGGATTCATACTGTGTTGCTTAAATCGAACGAGCCGCATACTGTGAGAAATAATGTGCAATCTTGTTGTTAAACCCGAGAGTTATGTATATCACAGAGACCTGCGACTAGTAAGACATTTTTGTTCATACTCGAGTACTGATACGTTACTCTGGTTGATGCTGTCAGTTCGGCGCTACCGTTTACTCGATCGTGATTGCTGAACAACTGATAGCGTCGGATCAGTTGACGTTGGTCGGTACTTGCCGCGATTAGCAATGTTGTATGTGATCAGCCGAGTTGATTTGATTGTGTTTTCTGTACTAGTGAATCTGATTTAATTATACTCATTGCAGCGCTATGGTATACAATTACATAGTAAATATTTGAACTGAATTAAAGCGAGGTAATAAGAGTTCAGATTGCGTAAGATCCTAAGAAACTGATGCAGGTTACTTGGTAGCAACAGATTTATATTTTCAAAATCCATTGTCGGTTGCTGATTATCAGAATAATTTAAATGCAATTGTGTGGCCTACCTTTAGGCGCAGTGCTTATTGCCTTTGTTGCGCTGGTCTAAAGTGTTTATAAATTTTCTCCCCTGTTAGAATGTAAGTACATACATTCGGATAGCTTTGGTTGGGTAGACTGGCTTACTGCGCGCATCCAGTTGCAGCTATAATTAAATTCTTTTAATTAATTCTTTAAATAGAGGTACCACGAAGTACACAAGATATTCTTGACTAAGAAAAATATTTCTTCAAATAATTTCTCTTTATTCTCTTTATTACTATTCTTAAAGAATTTTAATCATCGAGTAACCGAATACTACCCAAGTGCTAAACTTCGGACCCACCAACCAGAATTTTGTTCAGCGTAAGATTGTCAACTCGGTAACATACTTTCCTCTCTACTCAACGTATACGACAATGGTCGTTGGAAATTTGATAGGATTTCGGACCTATCTTCAAATTTTCCCTATTTTCCGTACCCAGGTCTTATACAATGATATGTTCTCTAAAAGCTTACTTAAGCAAGTGCGTTGGTAGCCTCCTTTGCAACCCGAACTTTTACCGTGTCCCCAGCATTCCAATTGTACGTAAGTAGCAAAGTGCTATAATCCGCCTAGTGTTGTGCCAGCGCTGGGCGCGATTGTTAATGATTTGCCATTTAACTCGGCCTAACTCTTAACTAACCCATGCTCGTGCTCATACATATGATTGTGTACTGCCCGCCAGCGCCGCGCTTTCCACATGTTCAGCCATAAAACTTTAAGCCTTAAATCGCTGGTATTTGGCTGACTACTTGACTGGCCTGGTTGGTTGGCTGGTTGGTTGAGTTTCCTTGTGGTTCTTTGTTATGCAGCAGCCAACAAAAACCGACAACAAAGCAGTTGAGTGGCGGTGGTGGCCGGTGCCTTTAATGTCCCACTTGCTCAGCACATCTAAAAACAACACAAACACACACGCGCCAGGATGGCCCAAGTATTCAAAGTTTCAATGTTACCAATGAATGCCAACCAGTCAGCCAACCGGGTTCGCAGGCTAGTCAACCTACGCGCCTTTTGCCTTGCAGATAAGCGCATGAATCGTGTCAACTCGTCTATGGTGGTGACGCGGCAGTGGGGGACTGCAATGACTGGCGACTACTCACGGCTTACCTACTTTTAATTTTTCACTTGTACTTTTATTTTGCACGCTTCGCTGCCAGACTCCACACACATGCGGTCCATGGCTAGGAGTCGGCGGAAAATGCACAATGCCTGAAAGCGAGCAGACAGTTCGGCGAATATATGCAAAAAGAAGTAAATCTACAAAAGACTTGTTCAAATAGTAGTTTCCCAGGGTCGGCGCGTCGGCACGTCGGCTCCACATGCACATATTTCACTTACATACATACAAACTGTTGGTATGCTGCATCCAGCGCGCATCCTTTGGGCTGTGCGGCAAACTCACTCTTCATTGTGCTACAAAATTGGTAATGGCGTTTGAGCTGCCCATACGCTGCGCCTCACTGCCGCTATTCTAGATGGGCCGTCGAGTCAGCGGAGGCGACGTTGCAATTTATTTTTGTTAAGTGCCGCATTTTGATCTCACTTTCCGCGGAACGTTGCATGCAGCGTAATCTCTGCGCCAGCCGCCGAACTGGCTTGTTTGCTTGCTGACTAGCTGACTAGATGTCTTCTTATTGTTGTTGTTTTCTAGTTTATGTTCCTTTAGGCAGGCGACGGCACAGATGATTTCTCTGCTCGGCTTTGTTTGTTGATGTTTCTGCATCGTCAGCACCTTGGCATGTTGCGCCACAGCAGGTCCTCTTGCGCTGCTAGACGGTTTGTTTTTTTCGATCTCATTCTCAATGGCAACGTCGCATTGCATGCCAAGTGCCAGCAACAACTTGTCTCCGGTGTGTATGTGTGTGTTGTCAATGGGATTTCAATAAACGGCAACTAGTTGGCTATTGCTGGCAGTTGATAGTTGGCTGGTGGTTAGTATAAATAGAGGTGCCGGTGGAGGTGGCTGTCGATCTTTGGGGTATGCAACAGTCGGGTGTATATTGTCTTTGTAGTTGTAAATTCCACTGCAGACAGTGTTGCCAATTGCCTTATAATCGGTTTAGTTAAAAATTTTGGGTTTTTTTTTCTTTGGGTTGAGGTTGTGGATTATGACATCCTGTAGCGATTTG